GAGCATGCGTTTCAAGGTCGGAAGTCGGAGCATCTGTCCGTACTTCTGTCGAATCCTCAAAATTGCCGCACGACTAGCCTTGATTTACACTCTCGGTAAGTAGTTTTCCTTCAGGCGTTCACGGCAGTTTTTTTAATGGCATCGACCCATTTTGATGGAATGAGTACGTGGCCTGCATCTAACAATTCCTTTAACTGGGCACCTTTAATAGGAATTGCTGCCTGGAAATCCTCATATTTCTTCCATTCCTTTTGCTCTTGATCCGTCGATGTGAATTCGTACGGATGGAGTGCAGTTCCAGTACTGCAATGCAAGACGGTTGCTCCAGAAACCTGTGAATTTCTTGCAAATACTCACATTCGCCTCCTCCTCAACACGCCGTTCTTCGAAACGTGCACGTATTGAGCTCTGCCCTGCTGATATGGGTGTCTGTTCAGCTTCGGGCTCTGCAACACTAACTCTACGTGAACGAGCGGTAGGTACAGGCGGTGGCGACCTTGACCTACCTCTGGCTGCTGATGCCCCAACCTTTCGCTCTTTGAAACACAGCGTACGTTTTCTTCTCGACCTTCTCCGCAAAGAAATGAAAAAGAAGACCTTTTGCACACAAGAAAAAGAATCTCGCCCACTAGCTTGCGCACCGCCTTTTCCAAACAGTCATCAATCATTTTCGGCGAAGAGGTAACTGAACCATGGCCACTAAAAAGGCGAAATGGCTGCTTGGAGGAACTTAGTCTCCAGACCTCCAGAACTCCTAGTTTCCCGTGTTCTTGCCATGGCTCGCTCTGTTCGATGACAGGATCCCAGGAGAGGTCCAGTCTCACATGGGACGAGAAGCCACTGTTTAGAACTCTGGACTGTCGAAAGTGAGTGTCAGGAGCACCAAGGTTTCTCTGTGTCTTCGACAGGCTTTAGCTCGTTCCTCTTCTTCGAAGCCTTCTAAGCTCCTCCTTCATCCTTCTCTTTGAAGCCTGCAAAGAGCTTTGCTCAGGAACGCAAAGGCCGCTGCCTTACACGTGCTCCGTTAGAGACGTGGTGTGCTTTGGGCGACAAGACCGGCCGGCAAGACAGCCTGGTCGACTGCATCTAGGGTTATAGGTTTTGAGGATAATCAGAATGAGAACATTTGGGTTTTATGCCAGAATGTTCCAGTTTTGGTTTCCGCGCAGAACCTGAGACCCGCTCAGGAGTAGAGGCATTAGCCCAAGCAGTGCTGCAAGGAGAGGCTATTCTACCTGAGAGCCTTATCCAAGGACAGCAATTCGAGGATTTGCGTGATGTACCTGGAGAGGACATAGTGGAGGATACGCCTGTTGAGGCTTCTAGATGGACCGCAGCCCTTCTCTTCTATCTTTGAAGAAGAAGAAGAAGGTGAAGCGCGCCGCGCCCAATTTGCGAACGTCATCCCTTTGTCTTCCTCGACGAGCGGCCCTCCAAACCCCTCCTTCTCAAAGCTCCCTTGAACCAGGGAAGCAAGTTGAGAAGGAGCAATTCTTGAAGTTCGTAGCACCGAAGTCCACCCAGCAGAAGATCCATCATTTCCAAAAAGCGTTTTCGTGTGGCTGTCTGCTTTTTGTGCGGAGAGGCCTTTGCCCTGAAGACGTTGGGGACTTTTGTCTGTTTTTTCGTTTTCAAGCAACAAAAGCGTTTTCGTGTGGCTTTCTCCTTTCACTTTTGCAGTTTGGCCTGCTAGTTTTGTGTTGTGTGCTTTCTCTTGGTTTTGCAGTGTCTCAACAGATTTCTTTTTCTGCTTTCAATTTATTTCGCTTTTGAAGCCTAAATCTTTTCTTTCAAAAGACGTTAGGTTCAGTTTTTATTTTTCGTTTTTTTCGTTTCTTTTTCTTGTGCGGCTTTGTTCTTGCGCTTTGAGCTTCTTCTAACTGTTGGTTCTCTCGATTTTCAATTGTTGCAGCTTTGAAAACGTTTTTGAGCGGACGTTTTCGAAGAGTTTTGCTTGAAGTTTTCCTGCACAGTTTGTAGTTTCAGGTGGTTAGCAGCAACGTAGTCTGCGCAGTGCTTGGAAAAGAGGTTGGCAAAGGTTCGTAAAGCGCTTGAAGGCACTGAAGACACTGCAATGGCCAATCTAGATTTGAACCAAGCTAATTGCTGTATGGCTTTTTGTTTTTGCTTTTTCCGTCTATCGTGCGACTTTCAATTTTTTTGAAAGGGTTTGATGTTTCTTCGTTTCAAACTTCCAAAGTTTTTCTGGACTGGTTCGCCCGAGATAAACCTGACGGTCCAGGTTTTTGAATCTGAGTTCTAATCCGGGTCAAACTTTTGGATTTTTTTCAAGAAGGAGCGGCAGCTCAGAAATGCTTGCAAAAGCACTTTCTCCAAGTGTTAACATCTTGGGAGGAGTGTCGAAGGCTTCTGGAACCTGAGTATCCAGCCAGGAGCTGTTTCCAGCCAGAGCATGCTTTTTTTTTTGATTGAGGGTTGTTCCAACCCGCAGCTTGTTCTTGTCAGGAGCTTGTTCCAGGAAGGAGTTTGTTCCATCCACGGGTTGGTTCTAGCCAAGGGAGTTTCACCCACAACAAGATCAAATCGGAGCATAAACAGAGCTCAAAGACAGACTGGAGCATGTTCGAAGGGACGTTTTCATCAAAAGCTGACAAGCCCAAACAACACATGCCGTCTGTGCAAAAACACAAAATTTTTTCAAAACGTTTTCGAGAAGCGGCAAACTAGACTTTTACAATCAACAAAAAATTAGGAACGCATCTTTGTCCGAAAGAAGATGTTGTAGGTAGTTGAAAGCAGCAGCAAGCAAAGGAGCAGTGCCAACGAAATCAGTCAAGTGGTGTTGATCGTAGTTGGTAAGATAGGTTTGTCATCATGGCCGTTAATCGTAGCTGGGTTTACTGGGCACGCTTTACATGTTCGCGACTTGTCGCTTGCGCATGGCAACCTCTGAAACATTTTTTTTCAGCATGTGCTTGTTGCAGTGGTTTTTGTTCTTGGGTGCGTAAAAACTACGAAGAAGCACGCTTAGCAGACTTAGAAAGTGAATTCTTTCCCGACTCATGATGTGGTCACTCTCGGTCCTTCATGAACACTTGAAAGCGGTCCGGTGGACCAGTACATTTCGCAGATGTCGGCAATTTGAATTGCGGGGCATGTTTGTCATTCCAACAGAATCACGCATATTTTGGGTTGTGTAGGCGAGGCATGGACGTGCATGTTTTCGCAGCCAGCTGGAGAATCACATCGACGCCACAATCACGCAGATGATGTTCTAGGTTCGAATTCAGACATTCAGCAATTTGATGTTCATTCTCGAAAATTGTAGTCCGTGCATATGCACAACCTTGTTAGCACTGTGGCCTCGATTCATTTCTGTCCCATCGTAGCACTGCTATCGCACTGAGATTGCAGTCTGCACCGTGCCATGTTCCTCAGTCACGCAACACATTTGGTTTGATTTCATGTCTTGTTGACGCGTTCCCGTGGCATCATGGTTTGCTGCAGTCGGAGCCCTGGGTCCATGAGTCCAGGGCTCTAACATTCCATGTGCCAGGCAGTCAGTGGGGTTGACAAAATCAAGACCGCAGCTGCATGCAAATTGGCGACCTGTGCTGTGTCTCATGCAGTATTCCGCTGAAATTGTGTACGGTGCTCAGGTCATGGAGGGCGGCCGCAGCAATTTTCCTGCTGCCCTGGTTGGCTGGCTCGCTTATGTCGCTTATGTCTGCATCGCGGGCTATGCTCACCCTGCATGTGACACGTTGGAACTTAGAGCTTTACAGGACAGGGTGCTCTGTCGGTTCGGCATGTGTTATTTTTCCGAACCTTTCGCTTGGCCAGATGCACTTGTTTTACTACCAGCAGGGCTTGTTCGCAGAAGAGGCCGGAAACTGCAGCTGCCCACATGCACGCCGACGAATTTTGGGGTAAGATTCCTGATGGCGAACCAGCTGGATTTCGTGGTTGAGCAGCCTATGTCTAGATGCTTGCACAATCTTGCGCATGATCCCAGCTGGTGGACCAGGCGATGAGGGCTCTGACAAGTAGTGTGACGATGCTTCGCCGTGAATCTGATGGCTGAGGAAACAAGCTCCACCTGGAACTTGCTTGGCCAAGTTGTGGCCACTCGACTTTTGTTCTATTCTCACTGTCTCACAGTCTGGTTCTTCGGATGGTGTGTGGAGATCATTGCACAACGAGCCCGTGGGTAAGTCTTGGAATCGCCGACTTTGCCCCCTGAGCCCGAAGCCCGACGCCCCACATGCAAAAATTGCCAGCCAAGTCGCCAACAACACCGCCACGGCAGCCGGTGGAATCGCCAGGCGTCGAGGATCGAGAAGCCTTTCGTTTTCAGATCGTTTTTTTGCTTCGTTTCCCATCGGACTCTTTGAAACCGGGCATGCTACATCGATGCAGTGGGTTCCTGTCCATAGTTCGAACCGCAGGAAATTCAGCTACCTCGCGGCGAAAGCGCTGAAGCAGGCCTGATGTGGTATCGGGGATTTGGATCCGGATGTCCTTCCGGGTTCCGCAGCTCCATCCAGTCACCGAAACTTCTGGAAGAAACCAGTGCTTGCAACGCAGAAGATCTTGTAGCTTTCGTTGCAGGTGCCGCCGCTGAGGAGCCTGAAGATCGCGAGATCAGGCTGAGGCGGGGAAGGAGAGCAGCTCATGGTTTTGTGTGTTGTGCGTGTGTTCACCAGAAGAGTTTTAAGATGCCACCGGAAAGGGTTTCGCCTGACCGGAGTGCACGATATACCCCTACTCAAGAAACGCACTGACATGTGCGGGGACTGCAAACTAAAAATCCTAGAGCCTGCAGCAATCGCGCGCGCGAGGTCGCTTCGAACGAGGCGTGCAGAGTCTGGCCCTGAGGGGCTTGGGAAGCGTTCAAAGCCTTTTCTATTTAGGAGTGAACGAGCGAACCATGGTGCTTTGAGATTCGAGAGGAAGGTGCTCGCTTGCGCATGTCAGGTCCCAGTCACAGGCTATTGTCAGGCCCACCTCCACTCTTCCTCGTGGCCGCTTGTGTCCCAGGCTGGAATCCAAGCTGCAGGCAGGCGCGCTGCGTGCAGAGAACGAGGTGGGAGGAGGAGAGTGGCAACTTCTCAGCTCGAAGCCCCACAACGCCAGAATACAATGGATTCGAAAGTTGTCGAGATCTTCAGCATCTGTTGGAAGGTCTTGGAAGATCGCGTGATGCGGGCTCAGGAGGAGCTGCTGTACATGGGTTCGAGAAAACGCTGCGATCACGATAACTTAGGATTCAGACCCTTTGCTAAGCCCCGTGGAATTATAGGCGCCCCTAACTACTGAAGTGACTTGTTTACCTAGGGCGAGCCTGTGGACCCTTAGCGAGCATGACGCAGGATTTCTTGGGCTTGCAAGCGGAGTTCAAGGCCATGAAGGCGCCGCTGTGGACGGTCTCGGCGTCACCAAGGTTTCGCTCTTAGGGTTCCGGACCGTTCCGGAGGAGCAGCACAACGAATGCCTGGATTCGCTTCGGCTGGCTTTGGAGGCAGGTCTTGCGGGACTCGAGCAGACTGAGTCCGTCCAATCTTGGGTGCAGCATGCCAGAGTATGCCCCTCCGCTTCCTGCCTCCCTGGCCTCAGGAGCAGCAGAAGGATGCCGAGCAGGCGGACCGGCGGGTGGTCTGTGCCGAGGCACGACGTTCTGGTCCACAGATTGTCTTCCTGCTGTCGGCTCCATAATATGCCATATCGCAGGATTGCCATACTTAGAATCTTGTAGACCCTTGCAGATGTATGTAGACAGATAGATAGACAGATGCATAGCTGGACAGATGGATAGACAGATGGACAGAGAGATAGACAGATGGATATGGTCACATCTGCAGACTAGGTACGTGCAGTTTGTTTGAGGAGACTCAGACCAAGAGTAAGCCAGTGACTAAGTTAATTTTCTGGACAGCCGAACGGGAATTTGCTAATGCTTTCAACGCGAATAGAGCCCGTCCACGCAGGATCTGGTGCGTTTTCACCAGGAGCAGAGGAGGATGATGGCGAGCCACTGGAAGCAGCAGTGCCAGATGAAGGACTGCCTCTCGTGGTCGGAAACGAAGTTGAGGGTCCTGTATGTCCTCGGAGTGCACCCCGCATGTGCTGACGTTCTTCGGAGGACGAACGGATCCGATACCTGAATCTTCAGCTGACAGAGCCCCTGACTTAGTTCGGACAGCGGTGAACTGCCCTGAACGAGGGCATAACATGGCTTCATTTTTGCCTCAACGGCCGCTTTAAAGCCTTTACAGAGACGACAACTTGGAAATTCCTGCTGTTCTGGCATCTCGCCGTCCAAAGCCTGCTTGCAAGATCTCGGCCACGGTCCTACGCCGAACCTCCACATCCTGGCATCCTTGCTTCGTCGTAGTCGTAGTAAGCTCTATGCTCCTATGACTTGCAAGTTGAGGTACACGATTGACTGGCAGCAGCTGGGTGTCCAAAGACAAACAGAGGCCAAGTTTCTTTACTATGGCATCAAGGGATATGCACGCTCGAGTTGTGCATCCCAAGTCTGCACACGTGTGCTGTGGCATCCTGTCTGTAGGAGCAGGCCATTCGAGGCAGCGGGCTCTTTTAGGATGTTTATCGGCCTCTGCATCTTGCAAGGCAAGCCTGTCCCACGAGCACTACTGCCTGGAGGATCTGAGCTCAGAGAATCATCAGAGATCTCTCGGACTTCTTTGAATCAGAGGCGCTTGCAAAGTGTTGCAAGGACCGTCATCGACACCTCCTGCAGACCCAGCGGAACCTGACAGCAGAAACCTCGAGGCTCCATCAGAGAAAAGGCATTTTAGCACAAGGCCGAAGGCTTTCATTCCGTCTTGAAGCTGGTCTGAAACAAGTGGGCGGAGTCATGCTCTTCGAATCTCTTCGACCAGCTGGCAAGATTCGCTCGAAGTTTTGTAGACAGCAGGCAGCAGCAGGAGCGCTCAAGGTCTCTTTCGTTGCGCTTCTCGTCTCATCCCGAAGCTGGGGTTTCATCGTGCAGGCTGGAGTCGTGCCTCCAGCAGGCGAATGCTGAGGAGTTCGGGCGGCAGCTTCGGATGCTTTCAGGGGAGTCTCTCTCTGACTTCCCAGGGCTAAGCCCCTCGTCTCTGCGCGAGCGCAGCGGGCTCTCTCCAGGAAGCTCGCCTGACGGAGGCGCTGCGCCTCGCCGAGGCGCGCAGTCCCAAATAAGGGCTCAGAGGAGTGGTCGGCTTGAGACCTTCCGAATTTTTGGACCATGGGACCATGGGCCCCCCCACCCCGGAGTTCAATGAGTCCTGGCAACAAGGGACTCCTGCATAGAAGGTTTGGCATGGGTTTAGACGTTGCGCATCTGTAAATATTCAAGCAGAACATATATACGGAATAGCGATACGCATTTATGCAGAGATGCGTGCATGCTTGTGGAGATGTACACATGCCATCCTCGAGTCCTAGCTCAATACTGGATCGGGCTGGGCTGTCTTTGAGCAGCCTTCGTCTGCATGGGTTCCCTCTTGGCCAACAGGGCGGGCGTCCTGCAGTAGGCTGCAAAAGGCACACTATCGGTGCACCTGCCTCCACCTTTCTGGGCTGAGGCTTGTGAGCCTGCATGTCCTGTGCCTGTATCCAAGGAACTTACACAGATTCTGCATGCCTTCCCTATCGGTTGCACGAGGAGAGAGGGGGGCAAGTTCTGGGAAACTGAACGATTGCAAAGTGTATAAACACACATATGTTAAGTTGTCCGCGATCATAACAGCACACATATTTTTGGTTTGCATGCATCACATGAGCGCTTTCCGTTTTGTAAGTCACGATGTGAGCTCGTGCGGGCGCAGGTGGGAAAGCATGTAATTACGTGCGGGTTTGTTCATGAGTGTTTGAGTGGCTGCAGGTCAACCTCGGTGAAGGATGCCCGCAAAGTCCTGGTTCTGAGGACGGGACCTGGAACCCTTTCACCGCCCACATAGTGTTGTTTGCCTTGTGCGCAATGTGCTTATTATGGCGCCCATGGAAACGTCGAAGCTTCCTCTGGTTTTCGGATGCAGCTTGTGATCCCCGGCTAAATCTCTTTTCAGGTTTCTGTGTCCAGGCCTCGAGCTTCAGCTTGAGCCCTCAAAGGAGACTGCCGCCGATGTGGCAGAGCCACGGGTGCAACGGTGGAAGGACATGCCTTAGCCTTTGCTGTCTAGAGCTCGAGCTACGCCGCTACACGAGAGGCCTAGACGATCCCTGTGTGCATCGCGCAGCATTGGCTGCCAGTGGTCCCGGCTACAATGACAAGTGTATTGAACACGCCGGTAGCGAGATCGTCCACTCAGTGTTTCTCGATTACTTGGTTGTTGGGTAGCCGCGTGCGGGCAGCAAAGACTCGACTGACAGGCCTGCCGCAGTTTTAACAAAGACTTGAAGCACAGCACGCTTTGATCGCCCTCGCCATGGGGGGATACCTGTCTGGCCGCTTTGAAGCGAGCGTCGCAGCCGTGGTAAAGGAGGCCGACGAGCGCACAGCCATATGTGCTTTTGCAATCCGCGTGCCAGCTCTTGAGGGCAAGCTTTCTGTGCGAATGGCTGTAGTGGCTTTTTATCTCTTTGGTTAAGCTTCGAACTTCCAGCTTCCTTGCTGCCTCGGGAGTGCACTTCGGGTGCTTCTGTTGGCGATGTGACGAGCTTAACATAGCAGCAGACCCAGACTATTTCTGTCAGCGGTCAGAAGGAGGCCTAGAGCCGTAGCATCAACCCAGCCTGCAGGTGCTGAGAGAGCACTCCACCATCGTCCAGCCCTCTGAGATCTCCAATGCAGATGAGGTGCTTCACACCACCCGTTGCATGAACAGCTTTCTACGCAGAGCGTGTATCACAGGCTTTCTACGAGAATCAGCTGATGGACGCCCTGAAGAAGGACAGCAGCAGAAGCATGGATCATAGATGCATCGTATCTTTGGCTGAAGAGCTGTGTTGAGAACAATCTGGTTCCAGGAGGGTATGGAGACTTGCAATTTGATTCTGGGCATCGACTTCACCCGGCAGCTCGGCTGTGGCGACTATGGAAAACTATGCAAACATGTCGGGCCTCGGGGTGAGCGAGCCCAGGTCCAACCTGACCCAGGGCAAGGAGACCTTCCACAACCTCAGCTTGCATGCTCTGCGATCACCACATGGCCCCAATCCATACCAGCGCAGCATCGTTCCTGGTACGCAAGGAGGCATGGCCCATATGTGTTGGCGGTTAGCGGCCCTGCGATGTAGCAGTTTAAGCGGTTTCTTGGACCTGGAGCCAAGGACATCGTGATGAAGGCGTGTTGGGCCTGGCCTTAGCCTTTTGTCTCACGAGCAAACCTTCTCGGCAGACGCTCGCACCGATGTTCGACGAAGACGGCCTTGTTCCTGCCTTTATCTTCGGAGATGTGCGCGCACCCAGGATGTGACAGCTTTCGGGCAGCCAGGGAGAGAAAGAAGTGGACGCATGGGGTAGATTCAGCCTGGCTCATAGGCTTCTCCTTTTGATATGGAGCATGGGATTAGGATTGAAGATGTCGTATTGCATCGAGTCTTCCGTCGCCTGCGTGCGGCCACTGTTCGAGGTGTCCACCAAAGACCGTGCTGTCCGACCTCTTGCAACAGGTCCCTTTTGTAACTTCATGGATCGTTTGTTGTGGAGCCTGAGTTCTCGGCTCGGTTTCAGGAGTCCCAGAAGGTTTCTGTCTTCCGATTCTGCGCAAGCTTGGCAGGCCATGACAGCATACCCGTCGATGAGATCCTGCCAGCCTACAACAAGGCCAGAGCCTGGCACAAACCTGAAGCACATCGGAACCCAGTACCGACCACGGCAAAATCTGCAGTACACAATGTGATCAGAGACTGAAGCCGGCTCAAGCACGTAGTCTAGTCCAGTGTATACAGCAGCTAGTCGTAGCGAGGTGCATTTGGCAAACATGGTTTGTTGTGTACCGCGGTGTGACGCGCGTGCAGTAATGTACCACGGTGTACAGCAGCGAGATGTGCCGCGTTCAAAGTGCTGCGCCGTCCTGTGCTGTACATCCGGCGCATTCACATGATGTAATCAAAGTATCGACAACTCGCCAGAACAGTAGCCAATGCTACAGTAGCCCTTGCTGTGTACTGGAAGTGAACATGGCAAATCTGTGAACACCAGAGCACAAAGTAGTGCACAGTGCAAGGTACTGTGTTGCGTGATCACGCAGCATGATCGAGATAAGCAGTACGAGACGCCATATGCACAGGGTAGCTGTTGCTGTGTGACGTCGCATTGGTTTTTCTTGCTGCAACAGACAAGCCCTCTGCCTTGAATTCTAAACCCCTAGGCCCTAAACCATTGTAGAAGCTTGCAGAAAGCTTCTAAAGCCCTGATCAAGCCGTTATAGAAACCTTAGATCCTTCCGGACCTGGGCCTGCGAGGCAATCGAGGAGCTTGGAGCGAGTGGCTATGGCCTTTCCGGGCCCACCTCCTTTGCTCCTTTGATTTACAAGGTGCGCGGGACAGGGGTTGCGGAGTAGTTCTGGTGGTTGTTGTTTCCTTGACGACCCGTAACCGCACAAACTTGATGCAAGCAGGTGTGCTTCTGTTTGGGTCAACTTCTTGGAGGTAACTTGGAGTAGCTGGAAAGCTTAAGATGGAAGCAAAGGCTAACATGTCCGACATGTCATCCTTTGAACGTCGCTGCCTGTGGCTTCTTGCCTGTAGAGAATGACAGGGGAGAGCTTTGAAGGGGCTCGGGCTGGGGCTAGCCTTGCCATGGTGACATGCAGACGCTGGCCTTATATGCCTGATGAGCATATTACTCTGGACTGCAGCTTGACTGCGCTGGAGTGTGTCAGTTCTGTTGCAGCTTGTGTGCTTAAAGCCTAAACAGCAGAATGGTTATTTGCCGAGGCTCCTTTTGGGCAAGCTCTTGGATGCTGATTATGATGTCGCAAGCAGCATGCTCATGGCACTTGTAAAGCGACGCCCATCCGAAGATACATTTGCATTTTTCCGGAAGCAGGCATGACCACATATATGGTTTATGAGTAGTTCCCTTGCAAGGAACACTTTGTCGTCAAATTTACAAATGCCAGCGGTGCATGTCTTCTATTGAGTTGGAGCAAAGCCCAACTGCACTCGTTCGGGCGATTCATGCCAGCGTCCAGCAGCACCAGTGGCAAGCTGCGCTGCGGCTGATCCAGCTTCAGCTGTCTCTGAAACCGGATGTGATCTGCTACGGTGCTACAATGAATGCTTGCGTCCGTGCTGCGCAGTGGCCAGCGGCCCATGTGGGCGGCTCAGATCACTGAAAAGTTGTGTCTTCGGGAGGCAAGAGCAGGGAAGTCCTGCGACGAAGTGCACGCCTCTGTGTCGAGTCTTCGTCGAGGGTGTCCGAATTGCTACCAAAAGCTTCGGCTTTGCGTCCAAATGAACTCCCAAAGGAGCCTTTTATCCGCTCTTTGGAGATGCTGAGGTGCTCTTGGGTTCGATGCCGGCGGTAAGGCCGCTTGGAAGCGTTATTCTGTTTTATTTTTTCTGGAATTCGAGGCTTCTGAAGGCCTGTCGATTCATGTCACACTCCTTCCCTCAATTGTGGGATCACTCCTGCGGACTGAAGTCCGCACACACCTTGTCCGGTTGCATGGTGTGCGGAGTTTCAATTGACTGAAGACCCAAGTCTCAACAATGAACGAGACATATTGGCCAGCTGCAAAGGCTGCTTGCGAATACCATCATCTACAACTGCGACGCTCGGCCAAACTCCCTGTGACATCGTAGTCGTCTATGTGTGGATCATCCTGTCTTGATGCCCTGATCTCAGTGAGGCCATCTCGGGTGCTGAGCGAGGAGGGCGGTGGCGCCTTGCTACCTGGACGGAACCTTCATGCCCGGAAGTATCGGCTGGTTTCAGAAGTTCGGCTAGTTGATGTTGCCTTTAACTGCCGCCTGCTGCATTCGGTTGTCCAGTGAGGCCCAGGCCCTGCTGCAATCTGCTCTGGAAGCGCGTGCGGCCGACGTTATTGGCTTCAGCCGCCCGCAGGAGCAAAGCTTGACTTTCGAGGGCCCGCAGAGCAACCAGCAGAGCTAGAGATTCGAAAATATAGTCGCGTCTTGTCGTGTGACCTTTGAGCTTCTTGCGGGATCTGGGCAGCCCTTCGTCGGATGGAGCGCTCTGCTTGAAGCGGAAGTCCCGTCAGCCCAGGTGCAGCCATCAGTGCCGCAGCCTTCGGGCCTTGGTCTTCAGCCGTGGCGCTGCTGAGGTGGAGCCTAAAGTAGAGATTTGTGCTTTCTGTGGCTTCTACATGGATGCATGAAGGTGGTACTCGTAAGAGTAAACGAGCTTAAAGCCTTCTTGGATCTGAGACAGGCATCTGTGGAAGGGCGCCTCCTCAAGTCCTAACGAGATCAGTGCTTTGGTGGCAGCCTTTCACGGCCTCAATTTGCCGTAGCTCTTCGGCTTTGTCCGCGCTATGTCGGACAATGAACATCCCTTCTTACCCAATGCTCCAGGGAACGAAGATAATAAGGAAGAGTGGTGGTGCGCTCTGTAGATCCAGATGCCATAATGCAGGAGCCGAAGCAGGACTAGAGACTGCCGCCTTCTACGAGCATGCTTTGGAGGATGATGATCTGGTGTTCCTACGCATGCTGTAATGCAATAGAAGAGATACAGTACTTCGCGTTTTAACTGAACTCCTTCCCTTTTTTCCTTTTAACTGAACTCCTTCCCTTTACGTCACTTCTCGGATCTATAAGGTGTCAACAGTGCCATCACCGCTTGCGGAACCGGCTCGGCTTGGGCAGCGGCCCAGGTGGGCATATGTCCGTGGATGGACACCCCAGTCCCAAAGCATGCTGCCCTGACAAGCTTCAGTCTCAAGTCGCACATCGACACTGCTTGTAAACTTCAGGTCTTGTGTGGCCGAATCTATGAGATCCGCGTCCCAGATGTGATCAGCTACACTGCTGCGCCTTGCTTTGTCTTTTGTCGCTTCTGATAGGGACCTGAAGAGTGACACATGTACACATCTACGTTCGGCCGACCGTGCAGATAAACCTTGGTTAGAAGCAGGAATCCAAACATCGCTTCGGAATGCTTTCTGCTTACTCCAACTTCAGGTCATAACGGCTTGCGGCGACGCCGGGCACTGGCGGCAGACTGTGCTGGCGTTGCGACAGATGGAGGCAGCTTCATCCCATCTAGTAACAGTTGTGCATGTCAGTATTTAAATATACCCTTTTTCTCATTGTCGCATCTTGGTGATGCCTTCATTTGTTTCAGCTGCTGTCAGGGAAGCTGCTAGCCACTTGATGGCATTGTAGGACCAACCATTATAGTGTTCTCAAGAGCTTGCGAGCAGCGGTCTTGACTGTTGACGTCAAGGTCTGCAGGGTCGCACGCAACATCGCGACCTTGAACAGTGCCATCGAAGCCTGCGAGAGGAGCCGCCACGGGGTAGCGGATTCGGTGACAATGACAGCACCGGCAGCACATCGCCAAACAGATGCCCCAAATCTTGGGCCGTAGCCGCATGTATGATGCTTGTGTGTTCTCAAATTTCTTTGAGCTGAATGGGGCGAAGGGAACTCGTGAAGGAGCTGTCGCTGGAGCTCTGCAGTTGCGCTGGTCCGTGCACGGGGAACTGTCGTGACGCCCTTCGGAACTGATGGCTGCTAAATGACATCCGACTCACCTGGACCTCTCCTTCTGAAATGTGAGGTTAGTCTAGACATCGGAGAACCAACAGACCTTCGGGACAGAAGTTTGTTATAAGGAGCAAGTCGCCCGGATCCTTTCCACGCTTACCTTCTGAGGTTCAGTGCAGCGATGATGGCCTGCCTGCAGGGTTCTCGCTGGAGTCACTCCCTGGAGCTGCTGCGAACGCTGCCTGTCCGGTGCTCGGCAACTGGATCTAGTCTAACGACTCCACGCAAGGCCACTTACTGTACGTCGCTGCAGTCAGCCAATGCAGATCTCTGCAAGCCACCCCAAGCAGTGGCCATGAGAGCCGCTTTCAACCCAAAACATCTATTAAATCCCATTATTCGTCTAACCTCCATTCATCCCCCCCACAAAACAGAGACCCAAACACACACACACACAAACTTCAGAGAAGCCGACTCCCAGGGCCGGAGCCTTCGCCCGGACCTCGTCGTGGCCAACTCGGCGCTCGCCGCGGCGGCCCTCGGCGCCGAGTGGCGAGGCACCTTTACAGGGCCCATTAAAGGGGGGGGGAGGAAAGGGCTCGAGATGTGGGTGCAGGAGAGGAGGACTTTAAGACTGGGCGCGGGCTGGAAGCACTCCTTCAGAGCCAACAGAAAGTCAGGAGCACCCTGGCTCACGTTTATGCTTGTTTCCACGCGACCCCTGGGGGCGTGGAAGGCGCTCTGATGCTCCTCACCGAGATGGCTTTGCTGCAGGCAGAGACTGGACTAGCTCTGTGGTGAGGTGGTCTCTGCTGCAGACCTGCCTGTGGCTGCTACTTGCATCACGAAGACAGTCAAACTCGGAGCACGATGGTGTTGACATTGTACAAAAAATGTGAGCAACAAGAAGCAAAAAGAAGTTCGATGAAATACCATAGTCATAATTTCAATTGTACCTAATACCAAAACCATAGAAATCATCATATCATATCATTTGTAGTAGTTCAGTTTAATTTGTTGCATCAATGACCGGTGGCAGTCCCTGAGGTCCGGCGAGATGCGGTGAGTTACAGCTGCGCCCTCTGCGCATGCACCTCGAATAGCTCCCGGAGAACAAGTTTTGGTACCATTTGAGAGCCAAGCACCACATCTTGTCAGGGACGGATTTAGATTTCTCTGTTTACACACATGTATTAAAATGTCTCGAACGCCCGTCGTGCAGTTGGTTTAGTTTTTCACAATAAGATAGGTAGGTCAGAAGCATCTACACAGATATGTCTACTATCTATCATTCCATTCTGCCTGTCTGTCTAATTGTGCATCTATCTATGTATCTATCTATCTGCCTATCTATGTATCTGTCTATGTATCTATCTATGGGTCTAGCTATCTACCTATCTATCTACCTATCTTGCTATCTGTTTATCTGTCTATCTATCTATGTATTTATCTGTCTACCTACATATCTATCTATGTATCTAACCATCTATTCTTCTATCCATCTATCTATCTATCCATCTATCTTTCCATCTATCTATCCATCTATCTATCCATCTATCTATCTAGCTATCTAATCCAGTTTTGTCTGTCTTCCTTTTTTTCTTTCTGTCTGTCTGGCTGGCTTTCTATCTATCTAACCTATCTCTATCGATATCTATCTACATCTATCTATATCTGTCTATACCCATCTATATCTATCTATATATATATATATATCTATGTCTATCTATATCTCTCTATATGTATCTATATCTCTATATCTACCCATCCATCTATCTATCTATCTGTCGACCTACCTCAGACCTACCTCCCTCCCTCCTTTACTTACTTACCTACCTACCTACCTACCCACCTACCTATCTACCTATATCAGTATAGATATCAAGCAATCCACCTATCTATGTACCTACCTAGTCATCCATCTTCGTAGCCATCTATCTGATCTGTGTATCTATCTACCTAGCCATCTATCCCCGTAGTCATCTAGCTAGCTAGCCAGCCAGCCAGCTAGCTATCTACCTGTCTACCTGTCTATCTATCTTACGTTCTTTTCATCATCTGCTGTGATTCACTATGTCAGCAAAGGTCTCGTCGTTGCAGCCAAGGTGCCACTGATCGTTCATGGCAGCCTGTGATGTCTCTTCTAGGCCCGGGCCTGAAAAAGAGTGACGCGGGGCTTCTTAAATTCCTACCCACTTTGCTGCCATCATGAGCTTAGGTAAATTCCCAGCGGTTCTGCAATCTCCCGTTTAGATTTCAGAAGACTTGTCCGTGGGATCAGTATATGAGGTTCCCATATTTGTGTCCTGAACCTTGGGAGACTCCCATGTGGGGCACCTTTGGAACGCTCTTGAATCTTGGGATCCGCATTGAGTCTTGAGAAAAATAGGGCTTTGGTAAACTCGCTAGCTCGCAACACTAAAGCATCGCTGTTATGGACTCTGAGCGGGGGCCTTTGAGTCCGTTTGAGCGCAGTGGGTACATCATCAAAACAGTATCGAGCGAAAGGCATCTGGGGTCCTGCCATTTTGGCAAGGCGAACACGCTGTTTGGACGTGCCTCTTGAGGAAGTCCACCTATCTGTTCTTATGTTGAGCCTCACTTCTTAGAGCTCTGACAATGCAGGCCAGATGCAGCTGGAAGGTTTGCAACCAGATCTGGTCGCCTACACCTCTGTCGCGACCCGAGTGTGGCAACTCACAGGCTCGGAAGTCTTCGACTCATCTCACTCAGCTTGTTTTCGAGGCCTTGGATGCTCTGGCAAATGCTTCGCAGTGGCAGCGGGCTCTCTGTGTCCTTCGGGAGATCGAGCAAGGCGCGTGGTCATGGAGGCAAGTCTTTACACGATTCTGGGTTGCCTCATGATTCGAGTCGCCAGGCAATCTGCGTCCCAACAATGTGGCTTTTGCTGCGGTTGAGAGGGCCTGTGCTGCTGCAGACAGAGCCCGACCTGTGACGCAGCAGCAGAGAGCCCGAGGAGGTCTCAAGCATACCAAAAGGACACAGGTGAGGTGATGAGGCCAAGCCAGAATGAACGAATAGCGGATGGTACTTCCAACCCGCTGGTCCATGCACAGTATATAATATCTAGATGCCCCGAGAATTTCTTCCGGAGAAGTCTGACACGGTGCATAGTGGAGTACATGGAGGAGTTAGGTTTCGGCTGTCTGGCAAAGTCTGATTAAGTCAGGCCTTTACATTAGATACAAACCCTATGCCGCGTTTTTTACATTCCGATTATCCAAGGTGCGGTGCTTGATGGATCTCATGCTTGCTTTTGCCACTGTCGCCCTGCGACAAAGCTTTCGCGGCGAATGGTCCCTGGAGAAGGGGAAAAAAGCAGTGCAAGGGAACTGAAATTCGATTGTCTGCTGCAGGAGGGATCAGTTTCCGGGTTTGTCGAAGATAGATTCGCTGCTTAAAGCAAGGCTTCAGCTCAAGCCCATCTCTACCGTAGACGCCGGAGGTTGAGGTCCAATTGCAGCTGAACTCTCTCAGATCCTTTCTGCTTGCTGGTGTCACCGTGTGCAATGCCGCATCCCGACAAGACTGGCTCACGTTGGAAAAGCCTGCCATGCTGACATGCTGGCTGCAATGCTGTTTTCTGATTCGTGTCCATGTCCAAGTCGCATCGAACCATGAACACAGCAAAGATAACGGATGGGATTCTCTTGTGAGCAGCCCCTTGGAGGCTATCGAGGTGGTAAGCCAAAATGGCAACGAGCAGCACATCCTCTTGATCCTCGCCGATGGCGCCTCTCGGCCTTCAGAATCGATGAGACTCCTATGAGCTTCGGCTGGGGTGTCTGTGACGCCAGGCAGTCACTGACGATGCCTGCTGTGAAGCGACCCGGCAAGCCCTGGTACTGGCCAGCGACTATCCGCTCTCCATCGTGGGAGCCTCAAGGCAGAGCCTTACAGAAGGGCTCATGGCGGGTCACCGCGCGATGCCAGGTCATGATCGGCGTGGGTGATGGCCCCTGGGACGTCATGAAGGACTGCCTGGAGCGACATGAACCGTTAAGCTCTTGTGGCGTGGTCCATTGAAACACAGGAGTTCGACGATGCCCTCCCCAGCAGGCAGTTCGACAATTTCCAGTGGCCGGGCGCAATCCGAGTCCAGAAATAGGACTTTGCGATTTTTTTCTTGAGCCTGAGCTTAGCACATTCCTTGATGTCGGCCCAGGTTCGTTCCTTTTGTCACTTCGGCTGCATCACAGGGCAGTCTAGATCTTCCTTGAATCTAGCCGCCTGTTCTTGTGATATTAGCTAGAGGTCGTCGGCTCGAGACATGACAGCGCCCAGCTCCTAAACTGAAGATGCCTCGAAACTGCGAACCTTTAGCTCGAATTCCTCATGGCATCCGATTTCGTGCGATAATTTGGGCTTGTCGCGGTTGTTACTTAGTTTCTTATGGCCTGTGGAGCACCTGCTGGTTTCTGTCACCGCATTTTCCGAACAGCAAGCGTTGTCCTAGTGATCTCGTGTTGTTTCTTGTTGGTACTGGTAGTGTTCTAGCATCGCATTCTCTCTCCTGCCATCTGAATCGTGCATGTCTGTGCATTTTCCAAGCCGAGGCGAAGTTCCAGGCTCTACTGGAGAGTGGCCGCCCTCGGCAGTGTCGTTTAGCCGAGGCCATCAGGGGCTGAGTCTGAGACTGTGACTTCGACGAAGAGTTCTGCAATCCTCTGTGGTTTAGCCTCTGTGGAAGTCCTTGGTGTGCCGGGTTGATTCGTTTTGTGCTTCGGCAATGTCGACTGCAACATGCCCACGCACATCCTCGCTTAGGCAAACATGTATGGACGCCTCCCAAAGAACAGGCGATGAGTTCCCCGATCATTGTACTCTGTTGCAGCTGTGTCTATGAACACAGTGCCTTGTCATGACAGGCTGCGTTCGCGCTGTGTGCCCTCCAGGACTGACAACTTGCATGGAGGTTTTATTCATGAAGCCTGCCATGCACCTGCATGGGAAAACGAAAGCTCAATGAAGCAAAGCACAGAGCAGTGATGTGGAGCGCTGGGGTGCCCTATGGTCCCCGAGAAGCAATCGAAATAGCCCTCCGAGAGGAAGTGCCAGCGCAGCGCGCCGCCATGAGACAGTTGGGTCTTTTCCAGGCCGACCGTCCGACAGAGCACGTTTTGGGGTTTTATTGCTCACTCTCAGCTGGTTCTTTAATTCTGATTGCATGCGCCAGGCACATGAGCCGCCTGCGAAGCGTCCCCGGCTGTCCCGGTGAGGAATCGCAGAGGCACAGAAAGTCTGAGGCCAAGACGTTTCGAGCCAAAGACCAAGGGGGAGCCGAGAGCCCGCAGGGCTCTAGAATTCATTAAGAGCCTCAGAGCCATTGTGCTCTTCCGGCTTTCGGTTCCAGCTCATGCGGGGTTCCCCTGCGCCCCTGTGTGTTTCAGACATTGCTGACGTCCTGCTGTTCTGGAGGAGCTACAGTGGAAAGCATCATCATCAATCCATCAGAGTCACTACTGGACCGGACCGAGAGCCCGAACAGTCCCCGCGAGCCGAAGCGTCAGTAGAAGACTTTGCTGCAACCGGAGGCAGGTGTCGCTCTTGCATTGCCCACTGTACAGTCGCGTGAAGCACAGGTGGCAAGCTACAAGAGCCGATGAGAAAAAGCTTGGCACGAGGGATTCAAGGGTCTTGGGGCCTAAGGCTTGTAGAGGCTTCGAACCAATGCTGAATGTGACATTTTTTCCTGTCCCCAGGAGCTCGTAGAAGCACCGAAGTGCGCGAGCCAAGTGTTGCCGGGAATGGGGAGCAGCTTTGGAGCATCCGGCTTCCGGCTTTCCTTTGGGTTGACCCCTTTTGGGAGTGACAGTATTTTGGAGGAATCCAGGTTGGGCTCTTCACATGCATGCATTTGTTTGGGTTGTGTAGCGGACGGGACCTCTGGACACACTCCCTCCGGACACGTCTTTTGCAGTCGAAGCCCCTCTGCAAATCAATCATTAAATCCATTGAGCAGACCGTTTCGATAAATTCTCCAACTGCCAGGTCCCATCGGCCACCTCCTAAGACGTGGTGGGAGAGTGGGGTCGGTGCTCGGATTGTAGGGAGCCTGCATGCGTGGCATAGGCATGTACAGACATAGATCGGATTTTGACATCTGCCACCCCAAAAAATACCACCCAGTGCAGGCTTGGCTTCCAGCAGCAGAGACTAGCAAAGCTTTACTTCTCAGGTGCATCTGGCGGGATGAGCTGGATGTCAGGGATGCCTGGCTGCAGCTCCAAACCCCGAGACCAAACTCGTCGACCCTTCGTGGCTTTTGTAGACATCGTAGACCCTAAACCCTGCAAACCCTGCAAACCCTGCAAACCCTGCAAACCTTGCAAACCCTAAACCCTGCAAGCGCTAATTAGGAAAGCCAGCTTGAGAAGATCACGGCGCAGCTGGAGCGCACCGACACTGCGCTGAGGAGTGCCCAGGCCGAGCCGGGCCCCGGGTCCTCTCCGCCTCGAAAAAGATTGCGGCTGCAAGGAAGCCCCTAGAGTCCTTAGAAGCCCTTAGAGTCCTTTCTAGAGAGCTTTTGGGTGCTTCAATGCGGGTTTGAAGCGTCCCCCTGCCGTGCTGCTGGCGCGGCGTCGCCGTTCTCCGAAGCTTCTGTACCGAGGTGGCCCTGGCCACGCAGCGGGCGAAGCATCAGGCTGTGATTTTTTTGTTCACAAAATGGAAGTTGCAGGTGCAAGCGTGCAAGCACCGAAGTTGGACAGTATGTCACGATTTGCGGCCACAAACACGTGCTTCAGACGGAGTTGAACTCGCATTGCAGAGCGCTCCCAGCAGAGCTCTCGGCCCTGCGCGCTTGCAGGAGATGAAGACCCGTCATGGCGATGCAGAGTCCAAGCTTCGCGAGGCCCAGGGAAGCGCCACAGAGATCTGAGAGCTCTCAAGGCGCCTCGGAATTGGGATGTTTCAGGTCCAACTGCAGCCCATTGGCTCAAAGCTGCGTCCAAACTTTACAGCCGAAGCCTGGAGAGTCAGACCCAAAGCATCGCTTCCACAGACACAGCCGGCCACTAAAGCATTGCGAAGCACTCGGGCAGCCATGCTCCGTGCTGGGAGCTTCCAGGCGCGATCCTCGAACCTGCGATTGTACGATCTGGAATTAGAGGGGGGGTCTTCGCTAGCTCAGTCCCTGGAACAGAACTCCACCATGCAAGGTGCCTTTCCCGAAGTATATCGAAGCATGCGGGTCAAAGCTTCTCTGGCCACATGCTGGACTTTGTTCGAGTTGTTCACAGCCGCGGCCACTTTTGAGGTCAATGCGCCCGGTGCCGGTGGCGCTTCGGCTGCCCTTGTCCGTGGCTTGCAAAAAAACTGGGAGTGCTCAACATCTCTCCTAAGCATCGCTGGACTTAGTCGCACGAGGGACGAACACGGGCCGCTCAGCCCTCCTAAAACTCGTTGAAGCGACGGGAACATCGTGAAAGTCGGGCCCACTATGCTTTTGGGGGGACTTAACCGGTACGTAGCTTGCAGAGTCGCAGACATGCTAGAAAGGACCTTAACTTGTGGTCATCCTACCCAAAGTCCCAGGCACAGCTTCGGAGCTGCAGCGACCGAGCTGCTGTCGGGGATCCGTCGCTTGCAGCCAGGAGCCTCCAGGCCAACGCCTGTGTTGATCTTTGTTTTGGGGTTTACGGCTCAGGAGTTGCATCCCAGGCCGTGGAGTGCAAGTCTTGCGTGGGTCAATCATGGAGCATGAGACACTGGGTCACGTAAGCTGAAGACACCTCGCGCGAGGCCCTTGCTCGACGACGCAGTCCGCGACCAGACGAAACTTCGGGAATCTCATGCAGTCGGCACGGATTTATGGGATTCAGGGTTCTGTGTGCTGCGCATTTACACGCTAACAGCTTACCCATCCAAGGCAGTATTCAGGCAAGCATGTCCCAGGCTGTGACACACCTGTATCGAGATTCCTGAATTTGCAAGGAATTTCGGCGCTTGGCGCGCACACCTCGAGCGAGCCAAGAGCGTAGCTTCTTGCATGCAACGGTGGACTTCATAATCCGTGGGAGAGAACTCACCGCATTCGCCGGAAAAATCACCTGGAATTGGGGCGAGCTCTGAGGTCAAGGATGGTGACGGTCTGTGTCCTGTAGAGATGAGTCAGGTTCGCCACGCAGATGCCGAGGGCGCCGCGCGCGTCCTGAATGCGTGCTCGAGGCTCGCATTCCCCGGGTTTGTACTTGTAGTGTTCTGGACTGGAGGAAATCCTGTATGCACGACGTGTTGGATCAACAAACCTCACAGCTGCGCAGCCAGCCGTGTTGGTTTCAGTTCGCAAGGTCGCCTCTCCCAGATGAGGCTGCGGTGGAGGCACATGCTTGAGTGTCGTCCTCCCCTTCGGCTCTCGCAATCTTGTCGTGGCGTTTGGCACTTGATGTACGAGAACCCTTTCCCTGTTTTGTGGCTCAGCTCTTGCGTCGCAGGTGGCCAGACTCTATGTGGAACGCGCAACCAAGCTGCTTCCACAAAGTGACTGGGACCGAGATGGCATCTAGGTGTTAGGGTCTTGGAGAGCTTTCATGTGTCCGTAGATGCAGATGACAGGCCTAAAGAATCATTGAGTCATGGAGTCTCTCCTATAAGACACATCGTGCAGAAAGGGCTTTTGAAAATGAGTAGGCTCGGCTGTTCTGCTTGTTTCGGCGCCAGAGGTGCGTTTGGCCCTCCCTTCTTTTATTGGTGCCTTTCTGGTGAAACTTCTTGTATGGAGGTCCAATAATCCGACATTCTCGTTTGCTCGCCTCTCTCTATTTGGGCTCCTATAGGCAATACGCGCCACATGGCCACCGTGGTCAACGCCATGGCGAGGAGCTGGTCTCATCAGGGCACTGGGGAATCGATGCTGTTCCGTTTTGTTTTGGAAGTGAACTTGTCGGGCCTTCTTGTAGTGACCATGAATTTCTGATGTGCCGCGACACGGAAAAGATGCCTCGTCAAGCACGTTTTTTGGAGGGTCTCCTCCTGAGCTTCGATGTGAAGCTTTGGCATGTCTTGCACCGGAGGATGCTTCTCCGTGATGAGGATTTCATCTCGAAGCTGGGCTAAAGCCAGCGCATACCTTCGGCAACGTTGGCTCCGGTCAATGCGGTGTTGATTCCTTCAGGGGTTCTTCGACTTGCCGAAAGGGCATCTCACGCCTTCCAAATTGGGTTTGAGTATCGAAATGGATTTATTGCTCCTCCTCCTCCTCCTCCTCCTCCTCCTCCTGCTACTTCTACCTTCTACTCCTACCCCTGCTCCTGCTCCTACTCATACTCGTATTCCTACTACTACTGCCACTCCTGCTACTCCTCGTTCTCATGCCACTTCTACCACTCCTACTACTCCTACTCCTACTCCTCCTCCTGCTCCTGCTCCTACTACTCCCACTCCTCCTCCTACCAACTGCCACTCCTGCCAGTCCTACCACTCACACCACTCTTACCACTCCTACCACTCCTACCACTCCTACCATTCCTACTCCTACTACTTCTACTCCTCCTCGTACTCCTGATTCTACCACGATTGTGACAGTGGGATTGTGTTGAGCGATAGTAGTAAGTACTTGTGACCAATGACGTGACAGTTCCGCTTTTCTCCCACTCACGGTTATCAGTGACGTGCTTCTCTCTCTCTCTCTCTCTCTCTCTCTCTCTCTCTCTCTCTCCCTCTCCCTCCCTGTTGTGTTTGTTTTGGCAAGGAAGCTCTCGCGCGAGCTCCGCCTGAAGTTCTCGCCCCCTGAATTGCAGTGCTGATTCGCGACAGTCAGGAGTAGCAGTCGTAGGGCAGTCTTGGGGGAGCCAAGCTGTCAGACACCCGAGAATTGAAGCCAGCAAATTTGCGTTCTACGGTTGTCAACATTTGCGCCGAAGCCTTGACAGCGCGGTTTGTGGTTTTGCGAGTGGTTGTAGCAGTGAGGCCGCTTGAACCCGGCTTGCCAGCAATGCGCTTAGCCTCTTAGCATAGTGCAGGTGCAGCAGGCAATTCTTCTTCCTTAGTTATCCGCCCATCCTGGCTGTGGCGGTAGCTGCTAAACTCCTAACCCTTCTGCTGCCGCCGGAGACTTGCCAAGCCTGCCTGGAGCCTGCAAGCAAGGAAGTGCAACAGCTTCCAGGCTTCCTTGATTGCGAACTCCTACGTCCGCCTCATGGTGGTGGAGCGGAGCTTCGCCAGAGCATTCCACGAGTTGTCTCGCTTTTCCTTTGAAGTCTAACTTATAGCACCGTAGTTTCAAACAGTTCATTTACAACATAAGAGCCCTAAGCCCGAAACTCTGAACCCTAGTAAGCATTGCTAAATTACTTCTCCCTCGCCTTCAAAAAAAAGGACGCTCTTTGGCCAGCTCCTTCCTGCCTACGCTGTGGCCCATGGATCGCGCTTCCGTGTGAAGGCAAGAAGATCCAGAGTTTCAAGGCGAAGAAATAAGACTATGAATTATGTTTGTAATAATAATAATAAGGTATAACGTAAGATACCGTACCAAGTATAGTACCCGTCTGAGAGTTCGGGAACACTGCGCGTCAGATCTAGATTTTAGCTTTAGGGTTTCGCGCGGTCGGGTTTCAGGGCAAGCGTTCCTGGTAAGAATTATGCGGGATGGAGGAAAAGCGTCAGTCGCTGTGCCAGGACCTGTCTTTGGTACTCAACGCCTACGCCAAGGCGGCTCCGCCACGAATGACAGCGGCTCTAGGGCCTAGGGGGCTGATTATTATTTCCGTGTTCGGAGGCCAGAGGAAGGAAAAGCATTTCTGTCGCAGCCCATGTGACAATCCTCCATGCGAGCACAGGCTCAGCTGCGAAGCACCGCCGTGTTCGCTGCTAAGCCGCAAGAGTTTCTGCGGGTGTTTCTACAACAGTGATTCTGCTGGCCCTGTGCAGAGAAATCTACGCACCCTGCGCGGCTGCACGTACCCTTAGGAACTATGGGAACTGCAAAAATGGCTTCCTAGTCCAGGAGGCCCTGGCCCTGCGCTGCCGGGAACAGGCCAAGCACATGGATTGCCAGGCCGGGACTCACAGGACTGCTGAGAGTAGGCCGCTAGGCAAGCCGTTGGAGGGCAAACACGACTGCTTCTCTAGGGTTTTGTCAAGGCTGCCAATCCCCCACTGGGACTAGGACTAGGACTAAGGCGACGACGACGACGACAATTGAGGTTGCTGCTGCTACTGCTAGTAGTAGTAGCAGTAGTAGTAGCAGTAGTAGTAGTAGTAGTAGTAGTAGTAGCTACTACCTACTACTTACTACTACTACTACTACTACTACTACTACTACTACTACTACCACAACCACAACCACAACCACAACCACAACCACAACCACAACCACAACCACCACAACTACTACTACCACCACTACTACTACTACTACTACTCCTCCTCCTCCTCCGCCTCCTCCTCCTCCTCCTCCGCCTGCTGTCGCCTTTACCAGTGCAGCCGCCCTTGCTACTGCTGCTGCTGCTGCTGCTGCTGCTGCTGCTGCTACGACTTCGACGACGACGACGACGAGCAGTACCACCACCATTGCCACTGCCACCAACTCTGCCACTTTTGCTGGTACCACTACTTCTGCAGTTGCTATTGTTCAATCATGCTTGAGTATTTGTTTTTTGTGCCAGTATTCCCCTAGGCTTCTTATTGAGCGCCTGTTACTGCTGTGGTTAACGTATACATCGAGGCGATGAGCGTCATCGCAGCAGCCCATGCAAAGCTGTTGATTGTTGACGAGCCTCTCTTCCAGGCCCCGGTCTCTTTGAGATCTTATCAAGCATGATCCAATCTGCTCTTTGTGTTTGTCGATTGTTTTATGGAAAAGCCATGTGCTGATCTATGTCGGGCAGTGCATGATAGCCCAGGTGGAAATGAAGCAGCATAGACGTCCTTGAACAGACGACTCGATGGAGCCATAAAGTAATCGTGAATACTAAAGCAAGTGCAGTCGGGTGAGATGCCAGCAATGAAGCGTACATGAGTTTGGAGGCTAGTGAGGCAGCTTTGTACAACGCCGGATGCACCATAAAGGAGTACATCACAAATGTATGCTAATGTACCCAGAAACGTAAAGAAACCGATGATACCGTGGTATCAAACGGGTAAGGTGATTAAACCGTGCTTTTCAAGATGCGAGCTTAGGCCCTGGGCTGTATCTCTTGCCTCAACCCTGCTGCTTTTTCGGATCCAGACCTTGGCGTGGCGATTGCGCAGCTGCGCACGGACCTGTACATTTCAGGCAAAGCGGGGAGTTGAAGTCAGCTTGGAGGTGCCTCGACGTGCTGCCCTATCACTACCATCACCTGCTACAGCCCATGCCGGTGTCCGAAGCCGTTTCCTGGAATCAGCATTTGATTAGCATCATTTGGCGAGATAAGCAGTTCGACAAATGGGTCCAGTGTCGCAGTGTCGCAGCCACCATTGCAGTCCAAGAGTTTCATCTCGCAGGCGGCGGCAAATCTAGCCCACGCCTTCGCCAAGTTCGGTTTCTCGAGCCCTGCAATGCCACAGGATTCCTCGAACCAGGTGCAAGCGGGGCTTGAGTGTCTGTTGCTCCGAGCTTTTGGGACAGTTTTCTGAACTCGCGCAAGCAAGCGAGCTCCCTAGCGGCCCGGCCATTGTTTCGCAATGCCCTGCAGGCATCCGAGATCCGCGGATCCGTGCCCGTGACGGATGTCGTCTTTGACGCCGTCGCCGAGGAGCTGCCGAGGTCTCGGAAGGGCTCGCGCTGGCGTGATGCGCGCACGGAGCCTGTTCCGTTCTGAAGGCAAAATCGATGTGAAGCCTAGGGGGGCCCCTGTAGGAGATCCTAAGCGGCTCGATTTGCATGGGGATGGTGCTGATTCAGTGAAGGCTCCTGGCCGAGCCCAACGCCCAGAGCACGGTGCTGCTCTGCCACTCAGTAGCCCGGGCAGGCGATGATGGTGCTGTCACAGAGCATTGCATTGCTGAGTGCTTTTTTGTGTTTTTAAGATGATGAATCCATCTGAATCCGGCTTTCAATTGTAAGGCGTGTCTCGGTTTGGCAAGTACCAAGCTGCGGCCATGGAGGCCAGCACCGGCGGCGCCCAGCACTGCCTGCAGCGCTGGCGGCCGCTGTGGCCGAGCTACCCGCAGAGGAGCTGCAGCCGCTCGACTCTAGGAAACCAAGGCGTTACGGTACTTTTTCTGATTGCCTCTTGTTTGGGGCTTCGGTGTTGAGGGTTCAGGGGGAAGCTCGAGGACCTGGAGGCACTCAGGACAGCGCGAAAGCTTCAGTTTGGCATGTCCAGGCAGCACGTGGGGCCAGCGTGTGGCGGCAAAAGCAATTTGCTCGGAGATGGGGGCCGCGGTTTGCTCGTATTGCTGGCAAAGCCTGCCAGCTTGGGCCACCAAAAAAGGCTCAGGGTTTCCATGGAAGGTCAAAGCAATGACGAAGGGAGAGCAGAAGGCGAACAGGAGCAGACATGACATGGAACACGTGGCGTTAGTAGACAGAGTCTCGTCTAGTGATCTTTGATCTTAACCAGGCTACACCGTCTCGTCAATCCTGTGTCAATGCTAGAAGCTACCTGTTTACAGCAAGCCCCGGACGGCAGAACACGAACTTGCACCGGCCCTGGGCAGCAGCAACACCAGTTTTGCATCGGTTGAAAGTAGCAGATGCTGAAGGTCTCCGAATCAGAAAGGCCTGAAGCTCTCTAAGCACATGGAAAACGGCAGAAGATCCGAGGCTTGGGATGTTGGCCGTGGCCTTCGCGGAGCTCTGGCCCAGGGCTGGAGGCAGCGAGACAGAGGGCCAGGCAGGTCGGCTTATTTGGGAACGGCAGATGTGGTTCATCGATGTCTCTTTTTGTGAGCTCACCCTCGGGCGTCAGCTTTCATCGCTGCCGCGGCTTTTCCTCGGTGTAGCTGCCTTCCTGATGCAGTGTTGCATCTGTCCGTCTGCCTGCCTGCCTGCCTGCCTGTCTGTCTGTCTGTCTGTCGAAAGCTGGACCAAACTTCGTGCAGACGCCAATCCTCATAGGTCATGGTGAGCCCCTGATTTTAAGGCCGTTGAGCCTTGAACGCAAAGCAGCTACGCAGGCGGCTTTCTGGTCTGCTTTGTCGGGTGCAGCAGCAGATCGAACGGCACAGCTAACGCCCGGTGATGCAGTGCCCAGAGTGCAGTGCTTCGTTGCAGGGTAGGTCCAGGCCTTCCGTTGGCTTCTCCTCAGGTAAGAGTCTGTTTGTTCAGGTGTTTTGTGGCGTCAGCCCCCTTGGTTTCAGGCCATCGTGTTGAAGGTTCCGCGAAATCGAGCGCAGGCACTACGTGTCTATACAGGCAAATCACAAGTCCATGTAGCCTCCGCAGATGTTGTACCACAGAGGCGAACTGCGCTGTGGCGTTTGCTGCTGCAGCGTTGCCACCAGCAGCCATTTCAGCAATGCAGCTGGCACGGCACTGCGAGGCTGGAGGCTTGTAGGTCTCTTTCTGGTCCACGGTATGTTGTGTAGAGAACTAAGGTTTTCTCAGAGGCTCGTTTGTGTTTATGGCCTTGACCACTGCAAACCAGGCATGAACCCTGCTCCGTGCAAATCCCACGTCTAAACATGGTTGCGGCGCCTGTAGGATGCCGCGTGTTTTGTGGTATTTTTGACCAGAGTGTTTTTGGCAATGTGCTTAAACATGTGGTAAAACGTGCGAATGGTTTACAAAGCTCAGATAAAGAGTGTGAGACTCTCCGAGACTTTGTGTACCTTTCTACTGTTTTCGATATTTTCCCACACGCTTAGACACATTTTTTGGAGCGGGTCAGGAAAAAGTTTGTGTTGGACGCACAAGACTACAGGTTCTGCTAGAGGATAGATGCCCGACGACCACGTGTGTGCGCCAGTGTGTGGCTGCGAATTGTTGAGGAAGTAGTTGATGACTCCACTCTCAGCTTATCCCTTGAAAGTTGCATTTGTGGCGGAGCGGAGTGTGTTGAGCCGCAAAGTTGCGCTTGTGGCGGAGCGGAGTGTGTTGAGCCATGCAGTATAAGAGGGTCCGACATCACGAAAGTACTGTAAATACCGAGTGAAACGGCTCTTGTGGAGATATTGTTCGGGGTGTCTGTGTAACAATGTCGTCATCATCCCCCCCCACCCCCCCACCCATAACAAGTACTCCAAGACCCACTGGAAGCTTGAAAAAGCAGTCTCGGCGTCCTAGGGGCGCCGTCACCCTAAACCTTTCTCCATAGCATCATCTTTCTTGAGCCCTACAGCCTAAGCTCTAACCCCCCAAAAAAAAACTCTAAACCCTGAGCCGAAACCTCAAACCCAAGACCCTAAGCCAAACCCTAGACCTCAAACCCTACACCCTAAATCTCTGAACGAAGGGTTCCGTTGCCATGCTTAAACAACTAACTCCCCTCTCCAGGGAGAGCTCTCTCCTGCTGTGGCGTCGGCCCTGTTGGTGGCGCATGCTGTGGCAGGGGTCAGTGCCAGGTCTCTTCTACGAGCCACTCGGATCTTGGTTTCGGGGCTGGCGGGTCTAGAGTTAAGGCTTTGGGCGCAAGAAACCCTAAACCCTAAACCTCTATCTGACCTGGGAGTCGTGATCTTCACTTCCCAAAGAGCGCAAGAGCTGTGCCGCTGGAAGGCTCACGGGGCTTCGCAGCCATCTTCCGCTTCTCAATTCCCTCGAAAGTGAGGCCTTCAACGCAAAACCCTCAACCACATATCCATACATATTTACGGGCTGCCGCCAG